GGAAAAAGAGGCTAAAACAGCACCTGGACATGGATGGCTGGTGCCTCTATAAATAAATCATTGATGGTCAGGTCATGTCAGGTCAGGTCTTCCTCTTCCACTTACACACTTTTGTTGGTGGCTGATTTTTCTAATAAAAACATTTTCTTTTTTTTTTAAAGTTTAACCCTATCCGTACGATCTGGGGTCATTTAAATTGTACCCCCGGGGTTGTATTCTTCTTCACATAATTTTTAGAATTCTTCTAGTACGAAAATCTCTTTGAAACTTTCAGTATTAATTCTCAAAAAATCATTTTGACAGACTACTATGCAAAGCCTACGGATCGGATTAACGAGTAAATTTCCTCTTTGGAAAGTGGTGGCACAGAGTACCCCACGTCGTATGAATACAATAGTAAAACACGACATACGGATAGGGTTAAGTAAGTGTTTTACGGCACTTGCAACACAATAAGTTCATATAAGCACCGAAGATTAGAGGTGTTACAAGAGAGTAACAAATACAAAAAAGAAGGGAGGGGAGATAAAGACAATAGACGTTTGATAGGAAAGAAGGAACAAACCACACCCGAGCACCCGCTAACCACCCACAATAACAACCAAAAAAACCTGAGGAGTAAATTTCATCTCTAACAAGCGTCAATCAACAAAACAATCCAGAAAAGACTTTGCTGCGATATCTTCAATAAAACAATAGAAGCGTTTATTTTGTCCAAATGCGTACAAAGTATCCCATTTGCGGAGAAGGAAAAAACAGAAGCAGGGAATAGGCTGTACAAAAACTTGCATCAATGCTCATCCCATGGACGGAAACATTGCGAGTTATCCACAAGTAAAAGAATAGATCAAACAAAACAAAACATACTTCAAATACATGAATGAAACACTCGAAAAAAACCCAACCCACCCCCCCCCCAAAAAACAAAAAACAAACCCCAAACCCAAACCCATTGCAACTGAACATTGTATCTGTGGAAAAATCATCATCTTCATACATCTATATTTGTTACTCCTAAATTTTTGACAAAGGAATGAAATTTTAAATCAAACTGCTCGGTGAGATGTTTTTAGTTTTAGTGAGAGTTTTACGGCACTTGCAACACAATAAGGTCATACAAGTTACGAAGATTAGAGGTGTTACAAGAGAGTAACAAACATAAAAAAGAAGGAGGGGAGATCAGGATGAAAGATGTTTGATAGGAAAGAAGGAGCAAACCACACCAGAGCACCCGCCAACCAACCACTGGGTACCACATGAAAATGAAAGACAGGCACACTTCACAGAACAGACATGTATGTATAATATACATATAGACATACATATAACATAACCAACTGCTGTATCACAGAATAACACTTTTACACATACTGCGTAGATAAATATTATATAATTTTTTACATACATTTTTTTATTTTTAGTAAGAGTTTTACAGCACTTGCAACACAATAAGGTCATATAACTGCCGAAGATTAGAGGTGTTACAAGAGTAACAAACATAAAAAAGAAGGAGAGAAGATAAAGACGAAACACGCTTGATCGGAAAGAAGGAGCAAACCACACCAGAGCACCCACCAACCACCCACACTGAAGCACATTCATGTGTGTCAGCTTCAAAGAGCTTCCTCAGACCCACCCAGCTTGAGAATAAAAGGAAAACATACACAAAGAGTCGGGAAAACCATGCTGGTTCTCACAGTTTAAGTTAAAAAACACTAAAATAACATTATTCGTTACAAAACTAATTTTGTACCTTTCTTAGTATTTCTTATAGATTTGAGAAATTTACTTCATCTTGTCCTTGCGCGTTCATATGACCCTACTAGTATGTAATTGTAAGCGCTGTAAAACTTTAACCTATCTTAAACCAAACATCACTTCCCCTATGGTTGGCCTGTAGAACAATGTACAGTTCTCTTATATAAGGGAGCAGGAAAACAGCAGACAGCTTGCTCAACGGGAGGTAACTCCGAGGTAACTCCTGAACTCGAAACAAAAGCCACCACAAAATCTTATCTCCCTTGACTCACGCCAGATGCACATAAGATACAAATTGGTCCCTTTTAAGCACAAAAGGGCTATCCCGAAAAATGCTGTTTTGAGAAAATAGAAGATAACGTTTTTGCCCCTTGTTCAGTTTCTTTAAAAGACAAGGAGAGTTTTCTCTATAACCAAACAAATATACACACCAATGAAACCAAACTTCTCCTATAGGTAGGGCAATGCCCACTTTTGGTGTAGGTCAATATTTCTGGAAACCCTTGAAATCTGGGCTAGCCCGCTTGTCCTTAAAAGAGTGACCAATTTCAGTATACACAGAACCGCAATCCAAGCAGCATACACTGAAACCCAAGTAGACATATATCATGTAACATACTGCTTAATACATAGTGAACAGACTTTCATATTTAAAAAAAAATAGTAGAGGTTTTACCGCGCTCGCAACTGCATAAGGTCATATGAGCGCCAAGGGGTGGGTGTCAACAGAGAAGTCTTTACAGGGAATCAGACTTACTCTGCTCACCTCTCTAGCTTCAACAGCACAAAGTCTGCTTCGACTATCCAGGCACCCGGAAATAGCAGGTCACAAGAGAGTGACAAACATACAAAAGAAGAAGAAGAAGAAGAAAATGACAATAGTAAGGATCAGGAAAGAAAAAGCAGCAGTTCCCTGTTGTAGATCAGGCACAGTTATGAGCATGACATGAGTCAGCCCATTTACAATTCTACTGTGCTTGAACGAGAAATATTCCCCCTTTGGGAATGGCCTAAAGACACTAGTCAGTGGCACTGCCCTGGGGGGTACAGACTTTCAGGTCCTCAGAAAATTTTCTTAAACATGTACATTGTGTAATTCTTTTTAGTTTTAGTTTGAGTTAAACGGCACTTGCAACACAACAAGGTCATATAAGTGCAAAAGAATAGATGTGTTACAAGAGAGTAACAAACACAAAAAAGAATGAGGAAAGATAAGGACGATAGATGTTTGATAGGAAAGAAGGAGCAAACCACACCACAGCACCCGCCAACCACCCATCTTAAACATGAACATTGTATAATTCTTTGTATTTTAAAACATGCACACAGTGAAATGTGTATGCTAGACTATTACTGCACATGTTTAAATAATACATGTACAACAAAACAGAGTCAGGGCATTTACAACATGACTTTCCAACTAGACAACAAACAAACAGGCTTTCAGAATTTCTTCCAATGGAAGAAAACTGCTCAAGCCCTTCTTAACTTTTCTTACAATTACAATTTTTTTAAAAGCGACCCAAAGAAAATCTTATATTGTTTGAGTAATACAAGCAACAAAAGCCATAGGCCGAAAACTTCTCAGTCATATCTTGTTCACAAGTTTAGTCTTGTCAAATAAATAACTGTGCACACAAAATACACACACACATATATATATATATATATATATATATATATATATATATATATCTATATATATATCTATCTTCATGCAGCTGTTATGTATGCTGTGGACTGTGTGGAACACTTCGTGTTTTGTCAAGTAGGACACCGACCAGCTTAATTTCTTTTATCTCGCTTTCTGTATCAATATAATATATAGGTCGGTATCTTATTCAGTTCTTAAGGCCATTCCCACACATCGTATAAAGCATAGGCCTACATATTTTACAGTTACAAGAGACAAAGGAAAAAAAATGAATAATAAATGAAATACATATTTCATATCAAAAGTATCTTAAATATGTTTCGTGTTGTTTAACAAAGTTTCCATATAAAATAAAAGGTTGTAAATACCTTCTTTCTTTCTTTTTGTGGTTTAAACATTGTATATTCTTTTTGCAAGGTTGAGTTTGGAAATGGGGAGGGGGGGGAAGAGAGAGAGAATCTATAAATTCCTTTTAATTCAACAGGCAAAGTTTCCACTCCCAAATAATGCAACCCTTAGTTTGTTTGAGCAATTAGCAAAATTTTATCCGCATGCGAGTGACATTTTGTTTACAGATTCAATTATTATTGTTTGAGTCACTCAGGTGGACACTGGAACAAAATGAAGGATGGAAACTCCACCTCTGTCATAATATATGTGAGACGTATTCTTAGAACGTACACTTAAGCACAGATAACATGAACACACAAAACCTAAATCACTGATAGCTCATAAAGTTTGCCATTCCCAGACTGATATAGATCTATATACACATCTCTTTAATTTTTCGACATCGGTTCAGAGAACACATTTGTTGATCCTCAGCAAGTTTTAACTATTCGTGCTCGACTGTTGGCCTACTATAAAATGCAGGCCACATATGGCTACCCAAAAAAGGCAAATATAACATTTAGACTGTTCATGCTTATTACACAGTACCATTATAGGAAACATACAAGGTAGGCTACATGTTTCTTACATTGCATGTACAATGCATAAAATCATACAAATTTGGAAACACTTTTGGGGGTGTATGTTATTTTGCAAACTCATTTTCGAAAAAAAAAAAAGTGGAGAAAAATTTGATGAGTCAAACGAGTCAAAAAAATGTTGTTCGGAATCCCTTGATACATCAGATGACATTTAGTGAATTTTAAATAATTTTTTAATTATTGTGTCAATTTTATTTTTCGCGAAAGTTTTAAATTCGCAATTTTAATGTCATGTCTCCCTATGCAGATACGCCCTTTTAAACATTTATTCGCCAATGACTTGTATTGCAAACTTCTTACCAAATTTGTGAACATCACAAATTTATGTCGCGTGATAATAAAACTCTGTATACAATAATTAGAGATCTCTGACTCGTATACTTGAGGTAGAGACGCAACTGGGTGTTACAGACTCAAAAAACAGTGTATACTTTTCATTTATAATGTGATCATGCTTTGAGGAGAAATACATTTACATGCTATCAAAAATCAACCTGCGGACGAACACAACCTAGTGGGAAGTGAAAGTGTCAGTCTTAGTAAGAGTCTTACGACACTTGCAACACAACTCGGTCATTTAAGAGCCGGGAGTGGAGGTGTTACAAGAGAGAAACAAACACAAAATAGAAGGAGAACAAATGTAAGGACGATAGATGTTTGATCAGAAAAGAGAAAATCACTCCAGAGCACCCCCAACGACCCACAGTGTTACGTACTACAGCACGTCTATGGCTAGAAACTGCAATTAATTTACAACTATATGTTGTAGTTGTAGGCACATTAGACTAAGCAGGAGATGCTCAAAAGTATCAGACACCACAGGTCTAAAAACAAATACAAAAAATCTAATTAATCAAACAGTTCAACAAATCCACTCATCAAATTAATCCAACAATTCAACAAATCCATCCACTCATCCGATCTATCCAGGAGGTACAGGCGACTGGACTTTTCACAACCAGCGCAGCATGCAAGCAACTGCAGCTACTCTTTGACGCAAAAAAATGTGTAGAAACTCAAAAATCCTGCAGTCACATAAACACAGCTGACAACTGACATAATTTGAGTAATTTTACTAAACAACGACAGAACCAGAAGTGCAATGTATTCTATACTGCTGACAGCTGACTGCAAAAAACCCACAAGACACAAAATAATAAAAACCTGATGAAGTTCACTCTTCCCCGTACTAAAATGGACTTTTTAAAACAAAGTTGTTTCATATTGATATGAAATTTCTGTTACAATACACCAGAATGATTTCAAATTCTAAAAAAATTTTTCACTCTTCAATCTCTAGATTTTCGTAAACATGAAATAACACACAGACATCCTGTAGTCCCATGAATCGTGAAGAGCACATTGTCAGAGTTTTACAGTAGTTGGTCATCAGTCAAGAGTTTTACAGTAGTTGGTCATCAAACAGTCAGAGTTTTACAGTAGTTGGTCGTCAAAACAGCCGTGTAATCTATGACGGCCGGAAGAGTAAGGGAAAAAACCCCACTTGGCCCAGGCGCAGTTAACGAGCGATAAAGAGAGAATCTGTTCTGGCAATTTGAATACCTGTAGGTAGGCTTTCTGCACCCCTGCAGAGCACATCCAACAGCCGTGAATCAAACACATGTAAGAAAAAAATGTCACTGCCAACAACTCTCACTTTGTCTTTCACGTTTGTCTTTTCTCCCTACAGCGCTCCTGGAGCTGAAACAAGAAGTGGACATTTGGAGAAAAAAATATGGTGAACTGGTACACGTTAAGTGTCCTTATCAAGACTGTCAGGTTATTTAAGAGGCAGGACCTCCGAGTTTATAACGTCCATCTCCAAAAAGGAAAGAGCCAAAAATGGGAAATTCGTAAATAGTGCCTTTCCCAAGGACACAACCAGCGGTCTCGTCAGGAATACAGTTCCGGCGGCCTAACCTTTAGACTATCGACGCACCAATCTCGCAACATCACTGGGCTACCAAAGCCATGAAGTGGACATTTATTGGCTTCACAAAATGGCAGACTCACAAACAGCATTGGACCATCCACTTTCACAGGTTTTAGAAATCACAATGGAGTCCGCTAAATACATATATACAAAACCGCAATCAGCACTACTGCCATATTTTCTTCTGATTTGACATGTTTCAAATTTAGAGAGATAGTTTTAACGTCGAAGAAAAAAAAATTAAGAATTTTACTTTCTTTTTGTTTACAGCTGTTTTCCGACCATACGTGTTCAGTTTCAACAAACTCCACTGTACCTCACTGTTGCCTCAAATAGAGATTTTAAAAAGAACTAGATCTGGCTTATACATTCCACAATTTAAAAAAACAAACGGATTCGTTGGTACCATCTTAAAGCTTGTTCATTTGTCTTACTTTTTAAGATAATAAATGTTCATCGATCATGAATAGAAGTCGAGATATTAATATATGCATTTAAAA